TCGTGATGTTGTTTTTATATTATTTTTGATCTGAAGTTAGGTTTGCAAATACTGTATCATATCAACTAGCCTTTAGTTATCAGCTATCAACTCTGATGTAGCACATGGGAATAATTTATAGAACCGGGCAAGAGAACCGGGCTAGACTGATGAGACCATTAATAGCTCGGCTCTATGAAGATGTCAGTAGCTTGGTCGAGATGGTAGCTCGTCCAGACTAAAAGCTCGGCTACGAGATAGCGCATCTGTATAAATGGTTTGGTTGGGATAATAGCTCGGCTATGGTCGTATGTCAGCTAATTGTAGCTTGGCTTAAGGGGTAGTTCGGCTAGACTAGCAGCTAGGTTACGAGTGTAGTCTGTTTATACTTGTAGCCCGGCTAACTTAATAGTTCGGTCAACAGCAGGCTTAGGAGCATGGAGAGCTTAGTGCAGTGGTAGCTCGTCTCAATAAATAGCTCGACTCGTGGTATTAATGGCTCTGTCTGCCATGGGCGTCATCAGATCGGCAGGAGAAGGCTTATGAAGGTGGAGAGCCTGAGTTAATTATAGTTCGGCCAAGTAACAGACTTGGGGACCAGGAGAACCGGATATAGCGGCGGTCCACAGGGGACACGTGTAGGATCAGGATCAACAAGAAATAAATGATCTGACGGGAAGAACAAAGCGTATGAAGGAAGCTAAACAACTCCATATATATAGGTAAATGGGGGGCAGGAGGTAAGGTTAATCACACTCTACAAACCCTAACACTACTTACATTACATACAACTTTTTTCTATCCTCTACTGATTTGGGCGTCGGATGTTTAACGCCGGGAGCACCTCCTGGCGTATCTGCAGCAGGTCTTTGGGAGCATCAAACGGTTGAGGGTTGGAGGAAGGCCGGTTCGAGGTGCAGGAGACCATCAAACTCCATATATTAGGTTATGAACTATCATTTTAACTTTTCAGTTGGATCTACTAAATATACCACAATAAGCCAGCTGTATAGCAGCCATTCTTTTTTCATTTTAAAAGACTTCTTGCAGAGTTAGATTTGAGTTCTAATTTCGTCTCCTAATTATTTGAGTATTAAATTGGAGTTTAATGTTTTTTTCTTTTACAAAATGATAGAATTCATTGATGCAAATACATAATTACAACTGACTAACCAACCGGAAACAAAGAGGCTACCCAAAGTAGCCCAAATGCCACAACACAAAAAGAAAAAAAAAAAAGAAAAACATAAAAAAGGAAACTCCCATAGGGAGAATACACGCTCTCAAATGGAGAATACACACACATGTACACAAATACAAACTCAACAAAACACTACAAACACACACTCACAACACAACCACATAACCCAAAAGACGAAACAAACAACCAAACAATACTACAAACAAGCCCTCCTTTAGAGTCGACCAACAACTCCGAACTGCCACCACGAGCTGGAACCCCAACCAAAGCAAGTAAGACAACAGTTCAGGAAGCAAATTTTGAAACTCCCTTCTCCCAAAAGAGCTGGCTAACTGCACCTGCCTAACTAATTGGAGTTTTAATGTTTGAGGGCTTTGAATTTGCGGATGTTATCAAGTCTTTAGGATTCAAGGAACGACTTTTGTGCTAGGTTATACAACAATACTGACGAATTTGATAAAAGTAGAGAAAACATTATTTCAAGTATTTGTAGTTTGTGTTGTAGTTGTGTGTTACTTTTGTTTCTTCTTTTATTATCACAAATATGTCGGAACTTTAGTCTTCATTATTGAAGTGTATTATCACCATTATAGCTTGTGCGTTTTTTTAGTTGTCTTATTTTATTGATTGATTGTATAATACTAAAGGTATGTGTGTTCACGCTTTATACTGGTGGTGATTAGTTAAATTGATACGCAAATCTCTTACAAATCGGGTTAAACCGGGGCCAACACGAACTGACTTTCGCCTTTGAGCTCTGGTAACCTGCAGATACACCAAAAAGACGGGAAAACCTCTGACGCTCAAGTCAGTATTCATTTGTAAGAATATTGGAAAATTGTATGCGAAGAAATTATAATGTGTTATATTATAGTAAAACTTGAAAACTCCCTACCGAGAGTGGTTATTGGAATATAACTTGTGAGTTGTCCACATTGATTCTACAGGTAAATGAGTCTAGTTTATAAGCCTAGTGAACTACTCCTTCCCATCACCAATTGATTTTGGATGAAACCTCACTAAGGTGCACCTAGAATCACCTTCTTCTGGTTCTCTTCACCTGGTGGATCTGCACCCTCTTCTCCCGATTCTAATAGTGGTTTCAGAACAAGTAGAGTCCTTACTAGGAAAGTGATCCAACCGTATCTACTTTTCTAGCTTCACACGTCTCTAAGATTTTAGACTCCTTATCAAGATATACTTTCATCCTTGGTAAAATTTGGTCTCTGTTCGTTCCATTTTTGTCGTGTTTTCTTGTTTATTTTATGTTTATTTTTTCCCATCTTAGGTATTTTTCCTTGGTTCATGGTCCATTTTGAGTCTTTTCGTGTTTTTTCCTATTTTGTTCGTTTTTGGTTTTCTTGTGTGTTTTTCCCATTTTTTCTGCGTTTTTCTTGTCGGTGGTGATGTGCAGGTTAGGTGGCTTTGTCGGTTAGTGATTTCGAGAGGGAAAGAGACCATGCGAGGATTACTATCTTGACGGTTGAGGTCGAGTCGAGTAGGAAAAGACGGAATAAAATTTCAAATCTGGATACCCACACGCGAGCCCGAGAAAAGCAGCAGCAGGCCTTCCCCGCGGCTACGGGGAACAAAAATTTCTCACGCTCAGTTTTCCTCGCCGCGGCCGCGACGAACAAAAAAGGCCCCAAATTTTCGACTTCAGCCCAGAGGAAGTCGTGGCCTCGGAAGTTGGTCGCGGCCGCGGAGGGATTCTTCATCGCGGCCGCGGACGATGCGACGAGCAGAATTTGAAGTACAAATTTTAGAACGTCGATCATTATCTCTAGGTTTTTCTTCGTATTTTTCCCTTTCAGAATAGATTTTCACTTAGTTTATCATTGGGATTCATCTTGGAGAGTAACGACTCCAAGATTGGTGCTTTCGGATTTATTTTGCATTCGGGATTTGACATTGAACATTCGTATTAATCGTAAGTTTCGATTTTCATTTTATCTATGGATGCTTTGGCTTTGTTTGATGTGAATGTTTATGTTAAATTTGTGATGAGTAGCTAAATTCGTTAGCTAGGGTTAGGGGATTGTCGTTTCAGTTCAATTTCGTTTATATGCATGATAAGTGCTCAATCTTTTCGAGTTGTGCTTAACCTAGGGTTTTAGATGCTTGATCAATATCTTAATCTAATTAATCGATTTTAGAACCGGAAGGGGAGAAATCGTTCGAACTAGGCTCGTTGAGAATAGACTTGTTCGTTATGGTATTGCTTATGTGTTAATTGTTTCAAGAATTACTCGTTTAAGTCTATCCTCTTGTTACGAAGAGTTATTGAGGATAAACCTCTAGATGAGTAGTTTGTCGAGTCATTTAACCGAGCTCTTGATTGCTCGTTCAATATATTGAGAACTGGAAGCGATTGTCCCCGATACTCTAGTCCCTTTATTCATTATTTGAATTCGTGTTTTGAGTTGTGAGTTTAGAGTTTCTAGTCTTGTTATTTCCATAATTTGTAGTTGATAAAATCAAACCAAATCAATCTGATTAGAGTGTTAGGATTATTTTCTCTTTTGTGATTGAATATTCGCGCAATTTAATTCGGGTAATCTTCCTTGTGATACGACCCGGGGAACAAGTCTCTTAAGTCTACTCTGGTTAAAATACTTACAACAGTCTCCTCTTGCCATACGACTCTTAGGTCCTCAAATCAGCCTAGCGACCTCGCGACCCACTTGTTGTGAACTCTTACCAGGTCGAAAGCCCGACCTTTATTTATACGACCTCTGGGTCGTAATATCCTTTCATTTGTCTGAGCTCACGGAAGAACTGGTATTATGAGATGCCTAGGCGAGCTCCCTGGCGAGGTCAAACACCGATACCAAGCCGAAGCTCCCTTCAACCGACTATCTCCGAACTAACCACTAAGCCCAGTTCACCGAGCTATTCTGGATGTTATATCATTTATAAGATTTATAGTTAAAAAAAAGTACATGTGAGATAGATGTTGTAGTTCACATCCCTTTAATTGAGTGAGTTGAAATGAAGCATAATCTTCGTAAAACAAGGTTACAAATTGGGAGTATATAGATGCATGTGGCCATTCAACAAAATTATCTAATCTAAAATCCTACATGAAACAGAATTCAAACCTTTTGTTTATTGAAACTTAAGATACAGAAAAGAAACCCACTCCAAAGAAGCATCCAACAACCTTCTCC